CAGCTCAAGGCTAGTGCTCTACCACTTGAGCCACAGCGCCACTTCCGGTTTTCTGGTGGTTTATTGGAGATAGGAGTCTCACAGTCTTTCCTGCCCGGGCTGGCTTTGAACCGCGATCCTCAGATCTCAGCCTCCTGAGTAGCTAGGATTACAGGCGTGAGCCACCAGCGCCCGGCTTCCACCAGTGCCTTTAAGTAGTTGTACAAAAGGGTTTCAGTTCAGCAAGTAAAAGAAAATATAAGGTATAAATAAAATAGCATTCCATTTCTTTTTTTCTATAGTCTAGCTGACAGATTTTTTGGGTTGGATCTAAAGCCAAAATAAAGGAGGACAATTATATTGATTCTTTTTCATAAAACTTTGAATTAAAAACAAAAATCTAAGAAGTTGGCTGCTAGTGGCTTATGCCTGTAATCCTAGTTACTCAGATGGCTGAGGTCTGAGGACTGAGGTTCCTAGCCAGCCTGGGCAGGAAAGTCTGTGAGACCTTTATCTCTAACCAATCACCCAAAAGCCGGAAGTACAGCTAAGGCTCAAGTGGTAGAGCACTAACCTTGAACAAAAGAAGCTCAGTGATATGACCCAAGCCTTGAGTTCAAGCCCCAGGATCAACACAGGTGCTCATTAGTGGGAGCACACACTCACACACAAAATCTAAGAGATTACCTGATTTAATAGGTAGAATAATGGATGCCAAAGATGTCCCCATCCTATTTTCCAGAACCTGTGAATATGTTAAATTACATGACAAAGGGGAATTAAAATGGCAAGTAGAATTTAGGTTGCTAATCAGATGGGTTTATAGAGTTGACTTTGGCTGGGGATTATTTCAGTGGTAGAGTGCTTATCTAATATGTAGAGAACCCGGGGTTGGATTGCAAAGGGGTGGGGAGAAAGAAGGAAAAAAGGGTTGACTTTGACTCTTGGAGTATCCTGGTGGGCCTAATGCCATCACAAGGGTTCTTAAAAATATAAAAGGGAGGGGCTGGGAAGGTGGCTCAGTGGTAGAGTGCTTGCTTTGCATGCATGAGGCCCTGGGTTTGATTCCTCAGTACCACATAAACAACAAAAGCTAGAGGTGGCACTGTGGCTCAAGTGGTAGAGCACTAGCCTTGATCAAAAGAAGCCCGGGACAGTGTCCAGGCCCTGAGTTCAAGCCCCGTGGCTGGCAAAAACATAAAAATAAAAATAGAAAGTTGAAAAGCAAGTGAGAGAGCTCAATTGTTAAAGCAATATAATGTACCACAGACTCAACTGGCCACTGCTGTCTTTGGCTTTGAAGGTGGAAGAAAGAGCCACAGCACTGGAAAAGAGAAGGAAACGGATGTCCCTAAGAGACTCCAGAAAGCAAGAGAGACTTCCCGACACCTTGGATTTAGCTCATAGAAACTCACATTAGACTTTCCTCCAGAAGCAGGAGAGATTAAATCTGTTGTTTTCAACCAGTCCCTGGTGGTCATTTGTCACAGTGTTTGTCACAGTCACAATGTTACGCAACCCATCTAACTGGTCAAAAGAACTTGAGATCCAGAACACTAGAGAGTACAAGAGTCAACCCACAATGCCACACCTCCTGAGAGTGTTTTTACTGGGGGCTGGGGCTCATGCCTATAATCCTAGCTACTCTGGAGACTGAGATCTGAGCCAGCCAAGCAATAGCAACAGGAAAAAGTGGAGGTGTGGCTCGATGGATAGAGTGCTAGCCTTAAGGGAAAGAGCCAAGTGAGAAAGTCATTTCCCTTCAAAAGAATGAACAAGGACATTCCATACTCTGTCTCAAGACAGTAAGTTTTCACCTTGCAGAACTGGTCAGACTTGTCTCTCTGGATAGAAAGTCACTGGATTCTTTCCTTCAAACCAATTCGGAATCTTGATTCCCATAATAAAAGTCTCTAAGAAGCAAGGCTTTCACTTTTAAGCCAAGGGTTCATGCCTATAATTCTAGCTCAGATCTGAGGTTCAGGGTAGGGTTTGAGACCAGTCTGGGGAGGAAAGTCAGTTAGACTCTAATCTCCATTAAACCACACACACAAAAAATGCTATTAGTGGAGCTGTGGCTTAAGTGGTAGAGCACCAGCCTTAAGCAAAAAAGCTCAAGGTCAGCACCTAGGTCCTGAGTTCAAGCCCCAGGACTCCCCCCACACCCCACGCAAGTTTCTAAAGAAGTCAAAACTATCATTTCATCCTAGAAAAGGCTATACAGATGTCACAGGAGCTTACAGATCTAAATAGCTGATCATTGCAGGAGTAATATACCATTTCACTGCTGCACCCTAAACATCCACTAAAAAATTAATTCAGGAGGCTGAGATCTGAGGCTCATGGTTCAAAGCCAGCGCACCCAGAAAAGTTGTTGAAGAAACTCTATTCTCTAATAAACTACTCAGAAAAAGCTAGGGCTGTGGCTCTGTGGTAGAACACTAGTCTTGTTCAAGACCCAGCACCAAGCACTTCCAAGAAAAGATTAACTCTAACAATGGGTAAGACAACTGGGAAGGGGGGCTGGGAAGGTGGCTCAGTGGCAGAGCGCTTGCCTTGCATGCCTGAGGCCCTGGGTTCAATTCCTCAGCACCACATAAACAAAAAGAAAAAAGCCGGAAGTGATGCTCAAGAGGTAGAGTGCTAGCCTTGAGCTGAAGAGCTGAGGGACAGCGCCCAGGCCCAGAGTTCAGGCCTCATGACTGGACCCCCCCCCAAAAAAAAAAAACTGGGAAGGGAAAGAGAATCCTCAATAAATGGCATGGGAGGAAAATGATTACATTTATTTATTTATTGGTCGTGGGGCTTGAACTCTGAGTCTGGGCACTGTCACTCAGCTCTTCGGCTCAAGGTTAGCACTCTACCACTTCAGCCACAATGCCACTTAGGGCTTTTTTCACTTATGTGGTGCTGAGGAATCAAACCCAGGACCTTGTGCATACAAGGCAAGCACTCTACCACTGAGCCCCCTTCCTAGCCCAATGATTACTTTTATTAATGTAAGAACACCAAGCAGATCTTAGAGATCCTGGGAACTTAATATATTTTGATTGCTGTTGAGTCAAGACCCAGGGAAGGTCTTCTGATATTCAGTTACTTTTGCTTATACTTAACATGCAGAACTAGGGTAATCAGGTTAAAACAATACTGAGATGTCACTATAGACTCTAAAGCAGATTCCAGGATGTAGATCAAAGGGCATTGGCCTTGAAGAATTCCTGAAATTCAGCTCTGTGAGTCTATAATTTAAAATTCCAAGTCTACAAATAGAGCTAATGATACTTGCCTGACCTGATCATAGGTGCTTGTGACCAGAATACAAAATAAGGAGTAAGAGAGAACTCGTGGGTGACAAGGAAATGTGGGGGAAAGGAGCTCTTAAGGAATGTCATGTGACCCTAGTGAGTATCTTAACTTATGACACTGGTCTTTTCTTGTGGTTTCCTCTTCAGTCCCTCCCGTTAAAGTATTCAAGAACAAGGGAGGAGGGGTTTTTCTCTCCTTTGGTGGGTGTCCCAGGGAGATGTGTTAACAAGTGAGAGAATAAAACCATCCCCAAATGGCTTCACCAATGTAAACTGTAGATTTTATGGAGTGAGTCCATATGAAAGGTGGCTTCCTGTTAGCTGACTAAGAATGGGCTGGATCATGGTATCTTTCAGCTCTACTACCATCCCTGGCTCCTGTGCCGTGGTTAGTTAGTATTGTGTTGCCCGAGGGCACCAGGAGAAGCCAGGCAAATTCTTCAGCTGAGCACTTCATAAACATCTCCTCCTTCTTTCTCCTCCTTTTTTTCTTTTCCCTCAGAATTCAGGGCCTTACATTTGCTAAGCAGATACTCTACTACTGGAGCCACTCTACCAGGCCCTTTTTGTATTATTTTCAAAAGAAGAGTCTTACTTTGTGCCTAGGCTGACCTGGACCTAATTCTACTGTGTCACTGGAAATTAGTGACACAGTCATGGAGTCCCATGAGCCCTTTTTTTTTTTTTTTGCTTAGGTTGGTCTTGAATCTCAATAATCTCCTTATCTTTGCCTCCTAAGGAGCTTGGATTACAGGTTTGAGGCCCCATGCTCAGCCTCAATATCGTATCTTTTTATTTTAATTTCTTCCCCTTTTGTCTGGTTTGTTAGTTTGTTTGTCTTTGTTCCACAGAAAAGAGGGAACAAAGGGTGAACATGTGCACCAGTGGTCCTCACTAGACACCATGTGGAAAATGAACTGTATATCCTGTGGGTGGAGATGGGAGGGAAAATCTGGGAGAGAGTGAGGGAAGAGGAGACATGGTTCATAGAGAATTCTACTCATTACCTGACTCATATAACTATAACCCCTCTGTACATCACCTCTACCATAACAATAAAACTACTGTTAAAAAATAGTTGGGGGGGCCACCATCTTTGTTTTCTGGAAGTTTCCAAATGACTCCCATCTGTCTCAATGGGCAGAATGTTGCAGCTCACTCTGCTCATCACTGGTAAGCAGAAGGATGGCTGTGCCTGGCCAGAATTTCCTTAGTGTGCAGAGAACAGGACCCGCAATTGAGCCAACTATTTGCTCTGCCAGTGCGAAAGAAAGAGAAAAAGGCGGTTGGGCCAGTGAGCAAAAAGATTTTTATATTTCAGTTCAACTGTCATGAACATTGCACATAAATTGAAAGGGAAAGTCCAATGTTACCTTTCTAAATCTTAGACTGGAAAGAGACATCACAAACTTAACTATGTCCTACATGAAACTCCTAATCTTTTCATTAGACACACGCTACCTACACTCTTCCCAACCACCTTAATTAAGAACAACGCCGCCTACAGCCCCAAGATCCTAGCCACTCCACACCCTGATCATCAGCAAATCCCACTGACCACTGCCTTTGGAATGCGTCCAGCTTGGGGGCCAGGAGACAGTGTGGCAAGGAGGAGGGGAGAAAGCTGTCCTCCTCCCTGCCTTGGTATGAAATCCAGCCAGTGCCCAGGACCAGAGAAAAAGAGAGTGGAGGAATCCCCCTTGGCATAGATTTGAGGGTTCCTGCAATGGGCAGAGGGAATGGTGGAACTGCACACAGCTCTGTAGATGATGCACGGTGACATGAAACCCCAGCAGAAGAGGAAGAACAAGACAGATGCCTGTCAGGCTGCAACTGGCATTCTGGTTTGTGGACACACAAGAAGTACTACTTTGAGTATAACCACAAATAACCAGTCAGCTGGGGATGAACAGGAGGTAGGGGTATATGCCAGAAGAAAAAGAAAGCAAATTGGTTCTGTTTTGTGGTTCCTGGCTGCTCAGGGTCTTCAGGGGCAAAACAGGTTAATTCCAAGTATGAAATGATGTTTTGAAAATATCAAAGGATTTTATTTTACCCTTTTTTCTCCTTTTCTCTGTGTGTGTGTGTGTGTGTGTGTGTGCATGCACGCGTGCCAGAACAGGGGCTTGAACTTGGGGCCTATGTGTGTCCTTAGCACTTTCACCTAAATCTGGCACTCTCCACTTCCAGCTTTTGGCTTTAGCTGAAGGTAGGGTTTCTCAAATTTGTCTGCCCCAACTGGATTCAATCCATGATCATCAGCTACCAGCTTCCTTAATAGCTAGGATTATAGACAGGAGTCACCAGCACTGGTGTCTTTCCAAATCTCCATATTCAAAGCCAGACATAGGACCCTGACCCAATCAGTCCAGTCCACATGCCCCAATTACATCTGAAATGAAGCCCCCACTTTTCCTTATGATCATTGCATCATACACATGCTCGCTTAGGCCAGGTCTGGGTGCTGCTGGCTTCCCTTCCCTTTCTGCTGCACATCTTATGGGGTGCTGGAGTTTGGGGCTCGACTTTCATTATCTTTCCCTTTTCTCCTAATAATGGCCTAAGGTCAAGTCCTTATCACATCTCCCACAGGCCTCTCTACTCCAACCACACCCACCTCCTTGCCACCCATGCATTGAGATATGAAGTGGTCCTACTTTGTGTGTGTGTGTGTGTGTACATGTGCATGCACATGCATGCAAATACTGGGACTTGAACTCAAGGCCTTATGCTCTTGCCTGGATATTTTTCTCAAAGCAGGACATGCTTCAACTTTTGGCTTTTTAGTAATGATTTGGAAATAAAAACCTGCCAGGTACCGGATACTCATTCCTGTAATCCTAGCTATTCAGGAGCCTGAGATCTGAGGATTGTAGTTCAAAGGCAGGAAAGTCCGTGAGACTGTTTGTCTCTAATAAAAACCACTCAGAAACCTGGAAGTGGTGCTGTGGCTCAAGTGGTAGAGCGCTAGCCTTGAGCTGGAGAGCTGAGGGACAGTGCTCAGAGTTGAAGCCTCTGACCAACAAAAAAGAAAAGAAAAGCTTTCAGTGTTGTCTGCCTGAGCTGGCTCTTGACCACAATCCTCAGATTTCAGCATCCCGAGGATCTAGGATTACAGGCCACAGCCACAGTGCTTTGCTTCAGCACCTTTAAAAAACATTTTTTAAATTGTTATTGTAAAGGCGATGTACAGAGGAGCTACAGTTACACAAGTCAGGTGATGAGTACATTTCTTTGGGGACAATGTCACCCCTTCCCTTGCTCTCTCCCAATTTTCCCCTTCTGTTCCCACCCACAAGTTGTATAGTTCATTTTCAACACAGAGCCTACTGAATATCACTCCTGCATTTATTCACTCTTTGTCCCCCTGTGTCAGTGCCCACCCCTTACCTTCTTAGCACTTGTTTTAAGTCCCCTGGGTGATTCTTGCATGGGGCTGACAAAGAATCTACCCAGGTGCTTTTTGAGTTACAGCTGAGATCTGGAGAGAATGATCCAAGATGACAGAGAGAACTGTTAGTGGGTCACAAAGCAGGCCAGAACTGCTAAGCAGCTAGCACATAATCTGTCACTGTTAGTGTGCAGAAACACACAGCTGATCAAAACGAGAGCCTGCAAACTTCTAATCATAGCTGGCTTACTCCTGTTTAATAACAACCTAAACAATTTTTTGTACTTTCTCCTCACTAGCTTTCACTGACTGCCTGTGATAGTCCACAATTCTTGGCTATGATCTTAGTTTTTGCTTACTGGTAACTACTTTGGGGTTGATGTTTACTTACATTAAATTTAGAACTAGGCAACAATGGCTTTGTTTGTAATGGTAGCTTCCAGAAGGTTGAAATCTAAGGATCTCAGTTCTAAGCCAGTCAGCGCAGGAAAATCTATGAGACTCCTACTGTCAATGAATCCCCCCAAAAATGGCTAAACTTGAGGCATGGGCCAAGTGGTAGAGTGCCAGTTCTGAGTGAAAAAGCTGAGCGAGTGCCCTGAGTTCAAGCAGTAATACCAGAACAAATGAAAGAAAAATAAAGAAAGTGGAAAAAAGAGAGAGAGGAAGGAAAGAAGGAAGGGAAGGGAATGGAGGGGAAGGGAAGGAAACTACAGTGAAGGGAAGGGAAGGAAGGAAGGAAGAAAGGAAAGAAAGAAGGAAGGAAAGAAGGAAGGAAGGAAGGAAAAGAAGCTTCTGCTAACTTTTTCTAATTCCCTCCCTCTCTGTTCCTTAGCATCAAAAGACAGCTCTTGCCGGGCTCTGGTGACTTACACCTGTAATTCTAGCTACTCAGGAGGCTGAGATCTGAGGATCACGGTTCAAAGCCAGCCTGGGCAGGAAAGTCTGTGAGACTCTTATCACCAATAAAACCCACTAGAAAACTGGAAGTGGAGCCACTTCTGGTGATTTCTGTTTATGTGGTACTGAGGAATCGAACCCAGGGCTTCATGCATGCTGGACAAGCACTCTACCACTTAGTCACATTCCCAGCCCCAAGTGTCTGGGCTTTATAAGAGTAAACTCTACAAAATGATACCTCTGAGTTTAAAAACTCACACTCCAGTTTGAACCACAGGGACCTCAGGACTGAATTAAGAAGCAGGAACACCATGGAATATCAAGGTGACGAGGCCTGCTCTAACTTTTGCAGTGCAGACCACACAGAGACGTCTGATACCATATGCAAAATATTTACATGTCTCAAGTCAAAAAATAACTTACCTCAACTATATCAACTATATCCTCTCATTCTACCTTTTATAAGGACCTGGAGGTCAAGGGCCAATTTGAGATTTTCAACTTGCTATTAGTGGTGTATGCCTCTAATCCTAGCTACTCAGGAGGCTGAGATCCAGAGGACCAACACTGGAAGCCAGCATAATTATGCAGAAAAGTTCAGAAGACTTCATCCCCAATTAAGATGCCTGGCTGAAAGTTTAGCTCAAGGGGTAGAGTGACAGCTGAGCAAGAAACCGAGCAAATTCAAGGTCCTGAGTCCAAATTCTGATCCAGGCAAAAGGAATGAATAAATGAATAAGTAGATAAATAGAAAATATGGGATTCTTGGACTTCTGAGTTCTATGTAGGAAAGTTGCAGTGAAGAACTTGCTGCCTGCCTCTTCCTTTCCACACTCCAGGCTTCTGGAATGAATATTCAATTTCCTAAGATGATGGTTTTCAAGTTGGGGCATAACTCAGTGATAAGAGTGCTTGCCTAGGACGTTCAAGGATCTGGATTTGATCCCAGATTTCTCCTGCCCCCTACCAAAAAAACAACCAAAGAAAGAATTCTCAAGAAGATGATCTGGCAATGTCTGGAGAGATTTGTGGTTGTCATGGTCTGAGGAAAAGGAGAGGGTACTAATTGCATCCAGTGAGTAGAAACCAGGGTGTTATCAAATATCCTACAACATCCAGACCACCGGCCACCTCAGGAATTGTCTGGCCCAAAATGTCAATAATGCAAAGATGCCATAATCTGCTCCAAGAGGACACAAATAATGTTTAATATCACATACTTAAAATTCCTTTACCCTGTTTTTGGAGAGTGATTAGTAAATTGGAGGTCCTGAGTTCAAACCACAGTATTGCCAATAAATCACACACACACACACACACACACACACACACACACACACACACACGTACCAACGCGGCTTTTTGTAACTGTAGGCTGCTGTCTTGGCAGTTTACAAGGAACTGAACTGTGCCCCTCTAACTTCCTGGAACCCAAAGAAACTTTGGCCTTGACTTTGGGCAAAGGCTCTTTGGCAAGCATTTTGTGTTATATAACTACCTAGCACATGCAAGTGATCTGGAGAATATGAGTAAGTAGAACAAGCAAACTCACAACTATGTACATTGTCTCCAGGATGATATAAATGTGTAGAAGATGCACTACAGTCCAGGGGGCAAATAAAGTGTATCTTAGCTGAGCTATTTGGAAGGTAGATCACAGCCCAAGGATCTGGACACAGAGAGACTCTGAAAAGCAAACCAAGAGCAAAAGGACTAGGGGTGTGGCTCAAGTACAGGGGTCAGCTACAAGCAGAGGTTTTTATTTAGTTCAATACCCTCCCCCCTACACAAAAAAGAATAAAACCACTACCAACAAAACAAAAAACAAAGTGGCCTGAAATCCTAGCCAAGCAGAAGATGGAAATCTGGGTTTGAACTTACGGCTTCCTCAGGAACAAAGCACCGACACCTCTGGTTATTCAGGGACTCTGGGAGATGGACCATTTATTTCCTTCCTTTGTGGTTTAAGCGAACAGTTCTTCCAACTAAAGAGGTGGTGGTGGGTGGTGGTGGTGTTTTTTCTGTCTTTTCTTTTTTTTTTTTTTGGTACTGGGGATCGAACCCAGGACGTTGCGCTTGCTAGGCAAGCGCTTTGCCACTGAGCTACATCCCAGCCCATGGTGGTGTTTTTTCTAAGATAGCTTGCGTGGCAGACAGGTGCATGTTCACTGTACAAACAATTCTAAATGAGCCTTGGTGAAGGCGTTCTGCACACTACTGGGAGCTACCCACGGTCCCTTGTAGATTTCTACACATTTCTGAGCACAGAAGTAAACACACTGATCTCTTGCAAAAACAATTCAGGAAAATAGTTTGTACTGTGTGTGCACGTTCACATTTCTTCTTGAAAGATTAAGTATATGTCTTTCTCTTGCAAAGAGGTCTCAAGGACTTAACTCTTTTTTCCTTGCCCATGTCTCTGCAAATAAGAACAATACAAAACCACAGGAAACACTAGAAACCAATCAGGTACCACAGTGCTGTCTTCAGGGTGTCACTTTGACAAACTAGGAAAATCTGACAGTAGCAGAATTTGGCTAACCAAATATATAACCCTATGTGCAAAGGATGAAGAAAACTGCAGACAAGAAAAAGATGGGGGCTGGGAAGGTGGCTCAGTGGTAGAGCGCTTGCCTTGCATGCATGAGGCCCTGGGTTCGACTCCTCAGCACCACATAAGCAAAAAGGAAAAAGCCGGAAGTTGCTCTGTAGCTCAAGTGGTACAGCGCTAGCCTTGAGCTGAAGAGCTGAGGGACAGCGCCCAGGCCCTGAGTTCAAGAGCCAAGGCAGACTAAATAAATAAATAAATAAATAAAAAAAGATGTAGCATCAGGAACCCCCAAACATGATAACACTGAGGCCTACGGCAAACATCCATCTTGGTATTTTTTCCTTCCCTTCCCCTTCTGTCTTATTCCCTCTTCTTCCTCCCCTTTTCCTTTTTAGGGTTCCAGTGTCTAAAGATCAAATAAGACATTGGGACCAAAGTGGTCATACTAGTGACGGTTTCACTCAAGGCTAATGCTCTACCACTTGAACCACAACTTTGCTTCAGGCCTTTTTGGTGATTAACTGGAGCTAAGGATTCAGGTGGACCTGTTGCAACAATGAGAAGTACAAATTGTCATGTCAAAAACGAGCTTTACAACGTCGGTGGGGGGAGGCTGGGAAGGGATGTGAAGGGTAAACAAAGGAGGGGGATGCAATGCTTGGTAAGAAATGTATGCATTATCCTGCCCATGTAATTGTAACGCCTCTGTACAGTATGTTTACAAATAAAATAATATATATATATATATATATATATATATATATATAAAAAGGTCTCTCTAATTTGTCTGCCCGGGCTGGCTTCGAACCCCGATCCTCAGATTCTAGTCTCCTGAGCAGCTAGGATTCACAGATGAGGTTCACCGGCGCCCGGCTCTAACGACATTTCTAGACAAAGTGGCTTCAGGCCTCCCAGGTACACAACCTCATTTTCGCAATTTCTGCAGTGGGACCCACGAGCTTCAACCTCGGAAGCTGTTTGGGCGCGGGTTTCAGCCTTCCGGACCTTCCACCGCCGCCGGCGTCTGCGGTCAGGCATTGCGCGTCCAGGGCAGGCGCGCCATCGCCCGACCACGCCCCCACATGACTCACTAGGTAGTGATTGGTTCCGGGCCACGGTGGGCGGGGACCTCGGGGACCGACCTATAAAAGAGCCGGGCCTCCGCCACCGCTCGGGTTGGTGTTGGCGTGTCCTGTGGTGTCGTCTAACGGCCTCCTCCCGCCGTTTTCGGACCCGGGTTCAAGCGCGTCGCGGGCGAATCATGGCGCTGAAGGCCGTGTGCGTGCTGAAGGGCGATAGTCTGGTGCAGGGCATCATCCACTTCGAGCAGCAGGCAAGGCCCGGGGCAGAGGCCTGTGGCCCACGCACCTGTGCGGGGAGCGGGCGGCCGTGAGGCCTTGGGGCCGCCCTCGTCACGCCCCTCGCCGGGCGGCCGGAGGATCCGCGCC